CTGAAGTTATTCAAAGGCCAAGATCACTTAAGAAGTTTAAAATTTTCAATACCTAGTAGTAAAACTGGTGGCTACTGCTATATGGCATTGGTCCTGCTTATGCAGTTCTCATGCTAGTTAGCACCTGCCTGATGACACAAGGAAGGAACATGAGTGATGAATAAAGAAAGACAGAGGAATTTCTTCAGTATTTCTTTGAAGATTTTACTCTGAGTAGCACACTTGCAGAGCTTGTTGAAAACTTGAAGATTAAGTGTTGTGTAACTAAAAGAACCAGTGATTTCAACAAAGAGTATGGGGATTTTGAAATCAGACTGTTACAGCTAGTCATAAACATTAGTAAACATTCTGAAATTAGTTCTGAAGATGGGGGGAAAAAAAGATCAGAAATGGTTGGATTTTCTACTCACGTATAACTTCCAGGCTTTTCTCTAGAGCATGATAAGGAAATTACCTGGACTTTTTGTCAGCTAATTTTTGTATCGCAATTTAATTTTTAATTTTATTAATTTTTAAAAAAATATTTGTGATTTTTTTTTTGTATCTTTCATTTGCAGAGGATGAAATTTAATTATCTGTTTTGTCTCTTTTTTTTTCTTCCCTCAAGTTGATTTCTCAATTTTGTGATTCATTAATATCGGCATTTGAGTCACAGACATGTTCTTAGACACACCTGATATATTTTACTAGATAATAATGTCAGAGTTGTGAGTCTTTTTAATGACATTTCCCTGGCAGTAGAAACATAATTTAAAGGTGTGTTTCTAAGACTAGCTTATTTAACCATCCATTTGGTATACAACTTTTGCCTGGTATGTTTTTCCACTCAACTGTTCATTGCAGCTGTTCAGTATGGATTTCCCAGAAAACTTTGTGTAAGGCAAACTTCATCTAACTAAAGTAACTACTCCAGAGTTAGGTATAGCAACAGAAATATTCCTTAATCATTCCAGTAACTTGAAAAGTACCACTAAAATATGCAACTTAAAAACAAACAAACTACATGGATATTATCATAGACTTTCTAGCATTTAGATCCTGATCTGATCTGTTGCAACGATTTTTTGCAGTTCTGTTACCTCATTTGCCTTTTGAAACTCTTTGGGTTCAACCTTAACATCTGTACTTGCTATACCAAAATAGCAGTCTTCCCAGTGAAAGAATAGCATTTATTATTATATGTACCAATCTTGGCACTTTTTGGGTCATGAAAGTACTTGTCTTATTGATGAACTCTTCTGGAGTCAAAATGTTGCCATTAACATACTGACCTAAATATTCAAAAGTTTCTGTTGCTTTTGTGAAAGTGTGAAATTGCTGCAGTTACTTGGTATGGAAAACAGGTGAGTTGTAAGATGTTCTGCTGCCGTAGATTCAATTCCACCTGTGGTGGAACTGTGGCAATGTATGGCCTTTTTCCAAAGACTATGCAGAACCAACAGCTGACATAGAGAGTCTGAGCTTTTGTGTGTTCAGCCTGAGGTTTGTAACCACTAAGTGTTTTTTTGTTTTTTGGTCTTTTTTTTTTTTAACCTTCTGGCAATTGCTGTCCCTTGTCCTCAGGAACCTTGTATTTCAGTGTTCCATGATGGTAAAACCCCCAAACCCCAAAATGGAAGAAACAAGTTGTTAACTGCATTGTAAATGTAATAAGCCATATAGATCATCCAGTCAGTGAGCGAAATGAATGTTCTGTGACTTAAAATTGTGGTAACAGACCACTGAAAGTAGGTTATCAAAATGGAAATGAGCGTTTATTTTCACTATGCTTCATTCAGTGGGAACATGAAGTGGGAACATGGCTAGCTGTCCTGTGGACATTTTAGTAAGAAGAGGTGCAGCCTCTTCCTTTTCTGTGTGTGCAATTTCCTTTATTCTAAGAATGTTTTTGTGTGGCTTTCCTGAAGAGTTTTGCGACACTGGATTTTGTCCTTAGAGGGTAGACCCCATGACCTTAAAAACCTTGCAATAATTCTTTGATTATTAGCTGTGTTTCATGGAGGCTGTATCCTACTGCTTAGCTGAATACAATGGTTTCTGCTTTGTAGTACAAGAATGTTAGAGTAGCAGTGGCATTACGTGGCAGGATCAAAAATTTGGCTCTTTGTATTGTGGTTGAAGTACCCAAGATTTGTTAGGATGTTCACGGTGGGACTGGTACTGAGGGACAGTAATAACCTAATGTGTGCAGAGCAGAGTGGCAGCTGACACATGCAATACATTTTTATCCTTACACTCATCATTGTGTATAGTGCAGCTGGCTAGTTAACAAACAAACAAGAACCTAACTTCCTTAGAATTTGGTTTTTATGTTGCTGACAAATGACTTCTTGTTTCAGGGTAGGGTCTTGAAGTTGTAGCCTCTGGTTTTTCTGGTTTGTTTTTTCTGTCACTATTTTTGCAGGTTTCTGTGGTGAAGCTCAGTGGAGCAGAAAAAGCAAAAACTGCTTTTGATAGCAGCAAAGGAGTGAATTTTTGCACTTGGTTGAAGTGTGCTGACATGAGGTTAGCTTTAGATAAAGTACAGCTTCCTCCTGTGCCAGGTAGCAAGGCTGGGGTCAGCCTTTGCATTTGATAAATTAAAGATCTAACTTGAGGGGCTTTACAGTAGCACAGTCTTCATGTTCCTGCTGAGTGTGTTATCCTAAATTTGTGATGTTCTGAACTTCTGCCACTAAATGATGTATTAATCTCATGTATCAATGTAAACTATGAGAATTTAATATTTTCCTGGAAGTTAAAGATTTATAAATAAGGATCTAGAGAAACATGTTGAAAAATCAATTAAAGCAGTGTGGGACACCATGTTCTTTAGTGCAGGACATGACTTGATGGAAAATCAGATTCTGTTGAATAACTTGTGTGAACTAGCAAGTGGGATCCAGCAAGGGAAATGGGTTACAAAAGAGGCTTGAAATAGCTTTAATCTTAAAAATAATGTCCTCATAAAATGTATAATATTAAAGTGAAGCAGCAGTTTTAACAGAAAGATTTTGTTGTCAAACTGTAAATTTATTAAGGAAAATCAAACACATGCCCCCTTGGCCCCAGTAGAAAATCAGAAGTTTATTCAGTACCCACTTCAGGTATTTTTCTAGCAAGACGAGTTTTCCCAACTGGTTTAATCATAGTTAGTCACATACGAAAAAAAAAAAAAGTTTGCCAAAAGCTCATGTAGTGTGTCTTCCATTAAACCTCTCGTGCACTTTCCTCCAGGAGATATGACTATGTGAAGCAAGTTGGTTGTGTGCAAGTGAGCTGCCCTGTGTTCAGTGCTTCTTCCCATGGGTTGAGACTTAGAATGAATGGGAATGTGCTGTTGCCCCATGATAAGGTGAGACTGGTGAAAAAGGACTGGTCACGTTACGTATAAGGAAAGGGAAAGTGAGTATAATTGGGATATGCTAACAGTTTGCATAGGATCTGTGATTTGTCAGTAAGCATGATTTCCCTACAAGATCAGCCAGTCCAACCATTCACCTATGACCAATAGTTCTCACTAAACCATGTCCCTCAACACAACATCCAAACATTCCTTGAACACCTCCAGGGTGTCACCTCCTCCACCTCCCTGGGCAGCCCATTCCAGTGCCTGACCACTCTTTCAGAGAAGTAGTATTTCCTAATGTCCAGCCTAAATCTCCCCTGGTGCAGCTTGAAGCCATTCCCTCTAGTCCAACCACCAGTTACATGAGAGAAGAGGCTGACCCCCAGCTCGCTACAGCCTCCCTTCAGGTAGTTATAGAGAGCAATAAGGTCTCCCCTGAGCCTCCTCTTCTCCAGACTGAACAATCCCAGCTCCTTCAGCTGCTCCTCGTAAGACTGTTCTCCAGACCCCTCACCAGCTTTGTTGCCCTTCTTTGAACACGCTGCAGGGCCTCAATGTCTTTCTTGCAGTGAGGGGCCCAAAACTGGATGCAGCACTTGAGGTGCGGCCTCACCAGAACTGAGCATAAGGGAACAATCACTTCCCTGTTCCTGCTGGCAACACCATTTTTGATGCAAGCCAGGATGCCATTGGCCTTCTTGGCCACCCAGGCACACCGCTGGCTCATGTTCAGCAGAGCATCAATCAATACCCCCAGGTCCATTTCCTCTACACAGTCTTCCAGCCGCTCTGCCCCAAGTCTGTAGCATTGCCTGGGGTTGTTGTGGCCGAAGTGCAGGACCCGGCATTTGGCCTTGTTGAATCTCATCCCGTTGGTTTCAGCCCAGCTATCCAGCCTGTCCAGCTCCCTCTGCAGGGCCTCGCTACCCCCGGGCAGATCGACACTTCCAGCCAACTTGGTGTCATCCACAAACTTACTGAGGGTGCACTCAATGCCCTCATCCAGGTCATCAATAAAGATATTGAAGAGGACAGGCCCCAACAGCGACCCATGGGGAACACCACTCATGACAGGTTGCCAGCTGGATTTAGCTCCATTCACTACCACTCTCTTGACCTGGCCTTCCAGCCAGTTCTGTTGAAGTTAATTGCAAAACTCCTGTTCACACTTTTCACAGTACCATTTCTGCTCTGAATTCTGGGGTGGTAGCAACGTGTGTCCCTCAGGCTGCTACATGTTGTTTTGAAATTGATTTTTGAGCATTGGATCCTTACTGGTTAGCTGCTCTGGTAAGGGACTGTGCGTATGCTTATATACAGGGTACCAGCTTTCAGAACAGGAGGAAGAACAACTGCAACAGCAAAGTGAACCACGCCTTTGGTCAGCAAAAACATACCACAGAGTTGTTGAAATACAATGACATGAGGATGAAATTAGAAGTGCAACATAAATCAAATTTTCATAAGGGTATGGACCTGAGATGAAGAAATATTTTCCTGAAATAGTTGAGGTCTGTAACAGTAATGAGAAAAACGTTTCTGAGCGGAAACTGAGGAAGAGGAAAATGAGGGAGAGGAAAGAGAATCTTCCTCCAGCCCTCATGACCTCTGAAGATAAGTATCAAGTTGCATAAACAAGAACTTACATTTCAAAAATATGAGCTTTGAAGTACTGCAGATCTCATTCTGGTAGCTCTTCTACAGCTGCATATGGTTACAGATATGTTACTATTTATTACAATTTTACAAATCTTATGAAAAACATTTACCTGTTATCAGAACCTCTCAATTTTTTCCTCTTGACTCAATTTTTTGGATGTCTATTAGCCTTTTCATCTCAGCTGTTATGAATCTCAGCCTTCTGAACAATGGAAGTTTTTGCCTGGACTGAACAGACCTGGATGCTCAACAATCACAACAGCACGGCTGGAACTCCATGCACGATGGGACCCTGTAATGGGACGTTGTCCCCACAGCCATCGACCCCTCGGTTCTCCCTGGGTGTGTCGGTGCTCCTGGCTCTGCTCATGGTGCTGCTGGCTCTGGTCACAGTCTTCGGAAATGTCCTGGTGATCCTGGCTTTCATCTTGGACAGAAATCTCAGGCATCGGAGTAACTATTTCTTTCTCAACCTTGCCATTTCTGACTTTGCAGTGGGTAAGTTGCAATGGGAAGCATGCAATGTTTGCTTTCCAATACTCTTAGGGGGAGCAGGGTGTCTTCTGTAGGTGGATGATGTCTTCTTGTAGTAATATTTCCCAGCTGTGTGGCATGGGGAAGGGTAAGTGACGATGAAAACTGCATAAGTGTTTCAGCATCTTATTGTGTCTCAAAATGCATTCTAATGAGATACATAATGTATCATTTTCCATATAATTAAATATGAACATTTACATATATATTTGTAACGGTTCTTATTTACAGAAATATATTATCATAGGGAATGGGTCTGACTTGGTTTTGGCTGGTACAGAGTTGATCTATGTAAATAGATGTTTAATGTTATTTTAGTTAAAAAAAAAACAACAAAACCAAACACACAAACCACTTCTATATGTGAACCAATAGGGAATAATAAAAAATGGGAGTTGCCTGTAATGAGTCAACTGAAGATTAAATAATGAAACCACACACTGTATACATTATCTGGGGCATCTTGCATATGTTGTTGATATATTTTATTTCAATATACCGTAGCTTAATAATCAGGTAATTACTTAAAGTTTGCAACTAAATAGTGATTAATAATATTTTTTAATATTTTGCTGAACATTGGACTATCAAGAGTCATTTCTTAAGAATATTTGTTTGTGTCAATAAACAAAAAGAGCGAATCAAGCTATTTTCAAGATGCTTATTATAAATCTATATAGGTAGGAACACAGTTTATTTTTCAACTTAGGAGAAGAAATATATAGTTAAAAAGCTAGTGTAATGTGAAATTGAAGACTGATGTACTGAAATTATCTGAACTGTTAAATGGCCCGCAATAAATGTGTATGTGAATGAATGATTATGGATACAAGTGGCTCTTTCATGAAGTCTGTATTCTGACTTGTCACATCACAACAAAATCTGAGACTGTTTTTATTCTGTATAATGTTTAGAATCCTTCCCATGTAAAGATGATGACTTCTTCCAGCCTCTAACTGCCTTGTTGTGCTGCAGAGCTCTTGTTGCCAGCTGTATGGGTGCACCTCAAGGATCTTTGAGGCACCCCATGATCACCTGTTTGTCTCACTCTCAAACAGCATTGTTTGTGTAGGCTTTGTACGGAAACCTCAGCAGTCTTATCACTGGGATAGGTGCTGCTGAGTCAAAATGCTTCATTGTAGCTGAACCAAACTGCAGGGCTAAAGGAGTCCTGCAAATGTCAGCTTGAGCCTATCACGTCCTTTGCTGGGATTCCTGCCTCTTGCTCTCAAGTCCTCTTCTGCCAGGCAATAGATCCTAAGCCTTTCTCCCTGAGCCTTTGTCAATGGCAGCAGTTCCCCCACTGTGAGATGGGGCTCCTTATGGGTGACAGGAGGAAAAAACAGCAGTGACTATAAAACCAGTCAATGGTGTCCTGTTGTCCTGCTCACAGTCTTGCACCACACTGAACTGGCATCTAGCTGAGAAGTATGAGATTGCCTCTACCAAGGAAAGAAGTACAGTTTACCTGGCATTATCTGATTTCCACACATTTGTTTGATGACACTTGTCTCGTTTTCCATTCTGAATTTGATGAAAAGCTTTGCATACTTACACATCAAACTGATCTGTAGTTCAGTTCTGTAGCTACACAGTTTAGAGTTGGGATATGCCTAGGTCATCTTAAATTTCTACCAGATCCTAACTGCTAAAAGAATGTATTTTTATTCTTGCAGAGTCCTTTCTTTTTTTCTTCTAACATATACAATCTGTCTTTTGATCTTCAACAACTTCTGCTTCATCTCTTTGCTTCTGGATCTATAACATACAGAGATCTCTTGTTTCATAGTAGAGAGGGAGAACAAGAGGAATTGAGAGTTCCTATTTACCTAAAAATCTTACAAGAATCTCTTCACCTTTTACAGCAGCGTAGTGTATTAAGAACTAAATCTAAAATTATCTAAATATCTTAAACATAGGAATGTCACTGGTGCCTGGAAAGTGGCAAAGTGTTCGTTGGTTGGATGAGTATGCAGGGCCTTCCACCTGGTAATTTCAGTCAGCATCACCTTTTTTTTTTGTCAGATACCATGGAAATGTTTCTGTACTTGCATAGCACTGACTGGGGTGCTGTCTGACATATGCAATTTGTTTATTTCCATAGGTGTCTTCTGCATGCCACTATACATCCCTTATGCCCTGACAGGGACCTGGCACCTGGGAAAAGGACTATGCAAGCTCTGGCTGCTTATGGACTATCTTGTGTGTTCAGCTTCAGTGTTTAACATTGTCCTTATCAGCTATGACCGTTTCCTGTCAGTTACAAAAGCGGTAAGAACATTTCTCTTTTTCTTTATGTATTTCGAGATTTCTGTAAAACTCAATATTCACAAATACCCCAGAAGCTAAGCCAGCCTTTATTGTTGCACTATTACTGTACTGGAGAAACTGATGCTTCAGTATATTGTAATAGGTGAGAAACTATGGCAGAAAGGTCGCCCTTTCTGCTTTTTCCTGGCCTCTGGAAATTTTCCCAAGTATGCAAAATTTGCAAAGACTTCATAGAGATTAGGAAGACATGAGCAACTAAATCCTCTGAAGATTATTTTTCTGTCAGATATATTTCAATGAATTACACTGGAAAAAAGAGTTTTTCTACATGTTTCCTGGCTGTAGGTGCTATGGCACTGAGATTTAGAGAAAAGATAAAGTCTTTCTCATGATTTCAGCATTTCCCTCCTTTTACATGATTAGAAACTATTTTGTTACTCTACAGAGGCAGTGGGAGTGCGGAGGACCTAGACTTTAGCCATTAAAGAGTGGTAAAAAAAAGAAATCTGGATTGAGTCAAGCAGGGGCGGAATCACCTCCCTCGACCTGCCAGTCATGCTTCTCTAGGTGCAATGATTGGCCTTCTGGGCTGCAACCACACACTGCTGGTTCATGCTGAATCTTTCATCAGCTGACACCCCCCAAATGCTTCTCCTCAAGGCTGCTCTCAAGCCATTATCACTCTCTACAATTCTCTGACAGGAGACTGGTGTGGTGGGGGTCAGCATCTTCTCATAGGTAACACTGATAGAACCAGAGGTGATGGCCTTAAGTTGTGCCAGGGGAGGTTCAGGTTTGATATTGGAAAAAAAATTCCTACCTGAAAGTGCAATGAGGCAGTGGTACAGGTTGTCCAGGGAGGAGGTGGATTCACAGTCACTGGAGGTGGTCAAAACCTGTGTGGATGTGGCACTGAGGGACATGGTTTAGTGGGCATGGTGAGGATGGGCTGACGGTTGGACTAGTTGGTCTCAGTGGCTTTTTCCAACCCTAACGATTCTATGATTTTTTTGGAGAGGGGGATATGGGATGGACTGACTGGAGAACAGATGGTGATCTGTGTTACTACCAGAAGCGACTGACATGTGCTGCCAACTAGCAGCTATATGGAAATAAATCCTTTTAAGTGAAAAGAAGGGAACAAAATGTGCAGAGAGAAGAGGTGTTCCTTGAGTACTATCATTCTTCTTCAGAAGATATCTACTAAATATTAATTTTCATCGTTTTTGAGCTCTTGGTATTGTGTTCAGGTGGAAGACAACTGATATCCTATGCTTTTGATGAGTCTGTTAGCTAGAGTGACATGAGCTGTGTGTAAGATCAGTTGGTTCTTGTTTGGTAAGTGCTCATTCAGTTTCGTATCTCTTTCTCTTCTTTGGTGTTCTGGTTTTAGGGTTGGTTGGTATTTTATTGTTTGTTTTTCTTTTAAGAAAAAAATACGAAAATCCCTGTATTTAACAAATTGCAGTACTGCAATATATTAATGAAGTTGCAGAGCTCAGAATGTGAAAAAAGTAAATTATAAAGTCTTCTGCAACTCAACCAGACCGATGATCTTAAGCAGCGTTGATGGTCTTTGCATATATAATCACCTTCTGTTTTTCTCCTCTGGGGAATTAGAATGGAGTGAGTCCAAGAATGTGTAACTTTTTGTTCAAAAGAGGTCATACTTCTCTTCAACTCAGGATCCACCTCTGCTGCTGATGTGTGGTCAGGCCCAGTCATTTCACTCAATTTTTGTGATGTTATGCTGAGCTTCCTGTTATCTGCCTACTAAACTGGGATGCCTGTGGTCTCGCAGAGGGCTGCAAATTTGCTACTGCAGATAAAGTGAATTGGAGCTGTGCTCTGAACTGGTGCTTTAAGGTGTAAGGGAGTCTGAAACATCAGGCTCAGAGGTTTAAAACTGAGATTCTGAAATAATGCCTGTAAAAATGTGCCATTACTCTGCTACTCACTGATAAAATTGGGACAATGATGCCCCTCATGCCTAATAGGAAAATTAATGAAGACAACATTCATGAATATTTGTATAACGTGCAGGTGCTATAGGAAGTTGATGAGGAAGATAGTTCTGAATCTCAGTAAAGCCTGGGATGACAAATGTCTAATGGTATGTCTTATATACAGTTGTCCAGCTCCTCATTGGCTGATAATCTCGAGAGTCAAAAGATTCAGAGTTCCAAGAGCAAGCATGTTTGTCTGAAATGCTACAAGGATAGGTTTAAATTTGATAGTTCCTAACTTTGAATGCTATAATTTTAACTCCTAACATTTTTTTAAAGATAGATTTTTACAGGTAGATTGTAAGATAAATTAATGCAGTCTGAGTAGACATCAAAACATCAACATTTGTAGCAATGCAACAAGATGTTTACAAGGTAAAGTGAGTGTTAAAATGAAATGTTTCAATCAGAAGACATGTTAAAGCATGTGTTGGGGATAGATTTTTCTTTTATGGCAAGAGGAAATAATTATATTGTCTGGTATTTGCAGTGTCTCATAGCAACCTGTCTAATACAGAAAGCTTCTGCTTTTGCCTGCGCAGCCACAGCTGCTTTCACTGTCCTATGAGCATGAGAATTTGAAGAATCATAAAGTGATTCCTCATTTCTACCTTACTGCAGTCATGATGAAACCAAGCCATGTTCTTTTACACCTAGGGCAGTAGTTAGGGCATCATAACTTCTACATATCTCCAATCCTGAATTATTAAAATAAATTGCGGAACTACAGTATTTGATGAGCAAGATTAATAGCATTTTTTGGGGTCTTGGAAAAGAGAGGATGCCCTAGGCATCAAGGAATCTGAAGAACAAATACTGTATTTGGGTAATTACTTTTTTTTTTTTTTTTAATATTATTTTGTGCCAACAAGTTACCTTAATAAGTGACAGGTCCTTTTCTCACAGGTATCTTACAGAGCCCAGCAGGGAATGATGTCCAGCCCTGTTGTCAAGATGGTGGCCATCTGGATTCTTGCCTTCCTGCTCTATTCTCCAGCAGTTCTCCTTTGGGAATACATGACTGGCTGCAGCATGGTGGAGGAGGGGCAGTGCTATGCCGAGTTCTTCAACAACTGGTACTTCCTCCTGTGTGCATCCACCCTGGAGTTCTTTGTGCCCCTGATCTCAGTCACCTACTTCAACGTGAGCATCTTCTACAACATCCAGAGACGCCAGCGGCGCGGCAGCATTCAATACTGTGAGTCTCCAGGGAGCAGCAGTGTGTCCTGGAGGTTTTGTTTTTTGCTGAGGCGAGGATCCTCTTTGTCAGAAATGGAGAACAGCGTTTCATCAGTAATGAGGTCATCAAGACCATCACTGGCATCTAACTGTACATCTCCAACAGCAACGAGTCCTGTGGCTGTCAAAAGGGACTTCTCTGCATCTTTCCGTGCAAATTCTCGGTCAAGACTGCAAAGAGACAAGAAGATTGCAAAGTCGCTTGCCATAATTGTGTGTGTCTTTGCCATTTGCTGGGCCCCATATACTTTACTAATGATTATTCGTGGAGCCTGCCAAGGAAAATGTGTCCATCCAATCCTGTACGAAATTACATTTTGGCTTTTGTGGATCAATTCCTCTCTGAACCCATTTCTTTACCCACTCTGTCATATGAGATTTCAAATGGCCTTTATGAAAATATTATGTCCCCAAAAGTTGGCAGCATTGAGATCAAATGATACACCTTCTGTTTAGAGCATTAAAGTAAAAGAGTCAGAAATAACATTTGTCTCTTACTGCCTTTTTTTCACCTTTCTTCAATAGAAATAGAGAAAAACATTTGTTTGCTAATGGCATTAGTTAAGAGTAGGCGGAGGCACATACTTGTTCTTATTTTGCTGATTTTCAGATTTTTTCTTTTTATGCTGGTTCATTCAAGATTAAACACTGTCTGGAATGAAATTAATAACAAAGTTTTACTGGATGCTCTTCTTGACTTATGGGCTTGAAGTGCTTCTTTTTAGTATTATGGAAGAACTCTTCCATAGATATCTCTGTATATGTTCATTGGAGGGGACATGCCTCTTTTTGTATGTGCTGAGTTAAAATTTTATGTACAATTTGTAGACCTCAAGCTATCAGAGGAGAAAGATGTGCTACAGTTTTGACATGTCCTGTAAAACCCACAGGAGGAGTAACATTTCCTTTTAAAAAGTGTTATGAAGGCAACATAGTGCTCTGTAGTCATTATGATTACAGTGAAGGGCATTATTCAGTTGTACAGACTGCCTAATCCAACATCTCTCTCTTTTAATTATAATGCGGTCCCTTCTTGGTGCTGTAGGACACAATGAGTGTGCATAAGTAACTGAGTCATTTTTAGAAAACAGATGTTTCCATGGTAATGAAATTTTGGGACTGCTTATCAAAATAATCACAGGCATAAACAGTTCTCTTTACCAGCACTAGCTTTTCTCCTGGTAGTGGCTGCCTCTTTGGTCATGCTTAAATCATCTTCAGTGCCAGATTCATGCACTCCTTGATTACTTAGAAGATAGGCCAAGCTTTGGCACGTGATGACATTCCTGTGAATGAGCAGAGCAAGCAGTACAAAGTTCATGCTGCATTTGAGTTTTTTGGCTGTCTGTATGAGAACAGACAACACTCTCCTGTTTATTTGCAAGTGCAAAGATATTCCATCTAAATGGCTGGAACAAATTCAAGCTGGCAGAGCTACGTCAGAGTGATGTTTAAACTAAATCATCTCTATAACTGAGCAGAGGCCATATTCACTTATTGAGAAGGAGGTTCACTGAAGTCTGTCTGAAAGCTGATAGACAGGTGTCTTAAATATCTATTAATAAAACGGGAGTGAATATGCAGTGCTAAAAGGCTGAGTAATGCAATGGAACCTGATTATAATCCATTCCAGGTGTCAGATCTTTTGTTGAGTGTTGCAAGTTTTCCTCAAGGTTTTCATGGATGGATGAGTGTTACTGTTTGTATTTTTTCCCTCTATTTTAATGTATATATACACATTATAGAATCATAGAATGGCTTGGGTTGGAAGGGACCACAAGGATCATCAGCTTCCAGCCTTCCTGCCACAGGCAGGACCACCAACTTCCCCATTTAATACTAGACCAGGCTGCTCAGGGCCCCATAAAACCTGCTCTTGAACATCTCCGGGAATGGAGAGTCCACAGCCTCTCTGGGCAGCCTGTTCCAGCACCTTGCCACTCACTCTGTAAGGAACTTCCCTCTGACATTTAATCTAAAGCTTTCCTCCTTGAGCTTAAAACCATTCTCCCTTGTCCTATCACTGTTTACCCTTGTAAAAAGTTGATTCTCCTCCTTTTTATAAACCCTTTACAAATACTGGAACACTGCAATGAGGAAGCCAACAAGCCTAGCTTCCTCAACCTGTCTTCACAGGGGAGGTGCTCCAGCCCTCTAATCATTTTTGTGGCCCTCCTCTGGACCCTATCCAACAGCTCTGCTTCTTTCCTGTACTGGGGGCCCTGGACCTGGATGCAGTACTCCAGATGGGGCCTCATGAGGGCAGAGTAGAGACGGTCATCTATACGTTTGTATGTAAAAAATACAGAAATAGAAATCTAACAGAGAATAATGCAGAGAATAATAAAGATTTAAGTAGTTTTCTTTTGGAATAAGTATCAAATTTGAAATGGGCTATAGAAGCGTTGCTAAAACAGAGGACCCCTTTGTGAGCACAGCCCAAGTGCATACAAACAGCTTAACGTAGCACAGAAGTTAATGGTTTTGAGGAGCTAAAATCCCATTCTGTTTAGAGGCCTGGAGCTGAAGATTTCTCTTGCCAGTTTTTGTACTGGCAGGTGATAGCATTTCACATCTTATTCTTGCTTCCTTGCCTTATGTAAGTAGTAGTATGCATTATGAGCCTGGGTGCAAGGTGATAAATTTCAAGAGGCCATTGACTGAGCACAGCTGCTTTCACTGTCATGACTTAAGGTGCTGGCACAGATTTTTGTGGGGTTTACTTTTCTGTAAGGCTGGAAAAAAAACAAAACAAAATGAAACCCACCTGCATGTACATGCTTGAAACATTTATAGAATAGCTAGTGTCTACTAAATGGACATCTGCTCAACAGAGAAGCTATAGGCAGGCCCAAATTGGTTAAGACTTGAATTACCTGCTTTTCTCATATGCTTTCAGTAAAGAAAAAAATGAAAAAATAAAAAAAATCTGTGTAAGAAAATCTCTTGCATTTTATAACTAAATGGGTTGATTACTTTGGAAAAATAGCCTACTCAGTTATTGACTAGGTAAAATGGTAAAAACTCTGCAGCACTGATAAAGAAGAGTTTTTTTCAGGGAGCACAGCGTGCAGTAATTTTGAAACCACGCAGAGAACTGAAATCACTAGAGATCAGTGTTTTTGATTTACAGTGTTCACTCAGCACCTGTACATTTGCAGATTTTGCTGTGTGTTTCTAAGTGCTCAACTGCTCCCGAATTAAGCCACTGCTGCTGTTCTCAGCATTAAAGCTGTCTTAGTCTCATCCTAAGTCTTCCTTTCTCCAATAGATACTTTTCAGGCTTCTGCTAGTATGCTTGTTCAGTATTTGTTTTTGGGCATGCCTTTCGTGCACTGACAAAAATGTACTTTCCTTGCCAAGTTTGCTTTTCTGAGCAAAGTTTCACTATCCAGATATCTGTTTCATCATCAAAAAAATGGCATTGCATTTTTTTCTGTCTATGGAGATGTTTGGTAGCTATTGTAGACAGTGATGGTAGGCCAGTGATTCTGTGAGGTCCAACTCCACCCACAACAGCATTTTTCTAAATTTGCTCTCTGAAATCTTAAAAATCAAATAAAATGTACATGCTGGAAGGAACGGTGTTATCTTTGTTTATTTATTTGTTTGTTTATTTCTTAGAAAAGTCTTTAACCCTAATGATTCTCCTAATGCCTGTGTCCTCTATGTGAGGCTGTGGTTTTACTTCACATGGAAAAGGGAAGGATAGTCCACATAGATTTTTTTCCCTCATCCCTGTGAAGAGCTATGATAAAACTTTAAAATTTAATTTGCTTTCTTCCCTAATTTTTGGAACAAATGACTATTCTCCCTTTATCTGCAAATCCATTATAGAAGACAACCATGTTGCTCAGGCATGACCTACCCTTAGTGACAATACTCAGTCACATTTTCCTTCTTCAAATGATGAGAAATACCATCCATGGGGACATGCCACGTTATTTTTCCAGTGACCCTATGGCATCTTTAGAAGATGGATGAAACCTGTGCATTTCTTTGGTGATCAGGAACCTTCCTGGAACTCTAAGACCTTTCAGAAAGGGTGGGAAGTAGCCTTGCAAGGTTGGTAGCTGGTTCTCTCAGTCCTCTTAAGTCCATTGGGTTCCATGGATTCTTATGGGTCAAGTCCTCCCTAGTAAAACCTGACTCAGTCCTCCTGTTTGTCAGATTTCCTCCTTGAACTTGCTCACAAACACAGGGGTGGGAAAGATGCAGTTAGTACACACTGAGGCAAAGAAGGCAATGATAACCTTGGCCTTATCCACATCTGCTATCATTAGATCATTGGCCCCATTCAGCACTGAGCCCACATTTTTCTTGTTCAGCTTTTTACTACTAATGTAGAGGTGGAGGCTCTTGGTGGAAGCTCTTTGTGTTGTCTTTGATGTCCTTTACAAGCATCAACTCCAGTTAAGCTTTAGTTTCTCTACCACCACGCTTACAAGGCCAAGCAGGATTTTAAGTTCCTTCACTGTCTCCTGGTGGCTTTGTGACTGTTCACAAAGGCAGATCTAGATCCTCCTGTGCAATTCCCAGGCTGTGCATACACTTGAGGCAAGTGTCCATTTGCTGTATTTTATCATTCCCGAGATACATTCTACTCCTGTTGCACTACACTTTAATTCTCTATAATTTTTTTTTTCCAAGACACAATCAGAGCACTGCACCGAAGTATCTTAGTGCTTTCTTTCCATCTTTTGTGCCCTACTCTTGCTAAGCATCTAGCACTACAACCACAGCCTAAAAACCTATTCAGAGCATGCTGCAGCACTGTGGGGCTGGTGACCCACAGACATGAGTCACAGCCATAGCCTGCTGACTTCTGTATCACTCTTACCAAAATAGGTGAAATTACCATGAAGAATGACTGTGCCTTCTTAGGCCTCCAAAGGACTAAGGGCAGTGGGCTCTTTCCTGGAATATCTTATGAAGTGAAAGATTACATGGACCATGCTTACAAGGACCTCCAAAGGCCATGTGTTTGGCTTGCTATGCCCACGGTTTCTTGCTTCTATTGAATCCAAAAGGTAACACTTCTGTAATGTACACACAAATTTTAGATGCTCTGTAATCCTCGGCTTAAAAAAATGCATATCTCTGTTTTTAACTATGTAGTTTAGTAACTGCTATAGCAAGAAGAATAATGGTGCTAACATTTTACAGTAAGAGAAATAGAACTGTGATTATAGAAATTCTGTTGACCACTGGGGAAGTGAAAAGAGTTCTGTTTTTAGCTTTAGCTGAATTCAGTGTAAAATCTGCTTGCATAATGCTAATATGCAAACTGCCTGACTTTGAAAAGAGTTTTCAGACCAGCTTTTCTGACCTCAAAAGATAAGGATCAGCCTTCAGGAAAGAGACAAATTGTCTTGCAGTGTGCATTTACTTATTAGGTATCTTTTGTACGGATTTTTCTTTTCAGGTGCATTCAGATGAACACTGAAGAATCCAGTTTTTGAAATTTTGTAATCTGTTATTTTGAGACAGTGAAGTTTTTTGGTGCCTCAGTCTTTAGCCTATCCTGTTGATAGGCTTTTCTCAATCTTCAGGATAAATCTTACATTTGCAAGTTTCTTCCCAAGTTTCTTCTGCTGAAATTCCATGCACGATGGGACCCTGTAATGGGACGTTGTCCCCACAGCCATCAACCCCTCAGTTTTCCCTGGGTGTGTCGGTGCTCCTGGCTCTGCTCATGGTGCTGCTGGCTCTGGTCACGGTCCTCGGAAATGTCCTGGTGATCCTGGCTTTCATCTTGGACAGAAATCTCAGGCATCGGAGTAACTATTTCTTTCTCAACCTTGCCATTTCTGACTTTGCAGTGGGTAAGTTGCAATGGGAAGTATGCAATGTTTGCTTTCCAATACTCTTAGGGGGAGCAGGGTGTCTTCTGTAGGTGGATGATGTCTTCTTGTAGTAATATTTCCCAGCTGTGTGGCATGGGGAAGGGTAAGTGATGATGAAAACTGCATAAGCGTTTCAGCAGCTTATTGTGTCTCAAAATACATCATAATGAGATACATAATGCATTCTTTTTTATTGTAAATGCTTTTAATGTCTCTTCAAAAAAAGAGGAGTAACTACTGTACATGAATTCTGATTGACTGAAAGAGGAGCTTTCAGAACTGTATCAGAACTGTAGTTTCTTATTTACTTTTGCTCCTTGTGTAAAATTATTCATTACCCGCCATCACAGCATCTTCATATTTATCAGAGCAACTGCTTTCTTACACAGCTATCTCTGGTACATCAAAGTAAGTGAATTACTTCTTAATGCAGTATTAAGAAATACAACAACATGCTGGCATCTTCCATCTGTTTTCCTTATTAGCCCCCTTGTCCCATAGTGTCCATGCACTGAACTGCAGTGGATTCAGTCGTAGTGAGTGACACTGGGAAAGAGGCAGCGGCCATGAATGCTTTGTGCAGTGCTCCTGCAGGGATCAGACCATTAAAACAGAGGAGAAGACTGAACAAAACCCATGATCCAGTAATGGATTTTCCAGCAAACAGAAAAAGTCAAGTTTTTAAGTAAGATCTGAGGTGCTGAATATTTATTTTTTAGAAGGTTGTTGGTGTTTTACTGAGGTCTGCCTGGCTCTTTCAATGTAGTATCTTCAGCACAGAGCTCTAAATTTTTAAAACTTTGTCTTAGGAGTAAAGGAAGTGATTCTGTCTTGAGAAGCATGATAAAATCTTCTGGCATCATCTTGACTTGAGGCTAGCAAGGAGGCATTTCTGCACGTAAGTTCT